CTAGGCTCTAATCTGGGTCCTAAACCCCCTATCTGTATGCCTTGAGGAGCCTCCCTAGTCTCTCTGGGCCTCAGTTTTCTCATCTGTAAAATAGGACAGTAGAACGGGAGATGGTTGTTGTCAGCATTATGAGATACCACTTACAAAGTGCTCTACAAGTTAGTTCCCTTTCCTTCTCCTACCCTGCTTGTGTCCAGGATCAGAGGAGAAACAGGGCTGGGCAAAGTGAAGGTCAGTGCTGTCTGTGGCTCTGCAGCCAGCAGAGGGTGGGGACCAGGGCTGGCAGAGGAGCCCACGAGACAGCAGGTGCTCAGGGCAGCAGAAGCCATCCTGGACTGGCTATCGGAGGTTCAGCCTTAATTCCTGGAGACCCCGCACACGTTAGTACACCCTCTGGGGCTCAGTTTCCCTGCCTGCAAAGGGGGCATCAGCAGTTTCATCCTGCCCCTCTGTGGGGTTACTGTGAGATCATGGCAGTGATAATTCAGTTCCTAAAATGCATGGCACACACATGAGGGATGGCTGTTTGAGCAAGAACCATCTTGCCTGAGGTGTCACGTGGGCTGCCCCCACCTCGGGGAATGGCAGTGCCCTTGTGGGCATTTTCTTAAAGGCCCCACATTTGCTTCATGGATACGTGTCCAAAGACCACAAGTGGGTCACACTGGATGATGGCGGGGTGGGGAGGACCACGTTTCTTTGGCTTTTCCTCTTCTGACCTGCTGGAGGCCTGGGATGAACGTCCCTTAGTCTGGGGAGACTGCCCCTGGGAGGACAGCAGAGGGTCCAAGGCTAGGAGCTTGTCTCAGGGACAGCTGCTGAGCCCTGCCTGGGATTAAATGCATGGATTAAATAAGAGCAGGGCACCCCCAGAGGTGGGGGACCTGGGGGTTTTTCAGGGGAAAACAGAGGAGAATAGCCTGCCATTATCTCAAAACCAGTAAGGAGTATGGTGGTGAGAAGACCATTTAGTTTCTGCACGATTCTTGTCTCTCTCTGCATCTGATCTGGAGGATTTCCATGTGAGGACATTTAAACGGTGGAAGGGAA